CCGACAGCATGCAGTTTACCAGGTTTGACAACACCCAGCTCAGTCAGATTAGCTTTAACAATAGCTTTAATGCTATCTTTACGCTTATCACCAACATCCAATTTGAAATGCTCAGTGATTTTAAGCAACTGATCACGCGTACACCACTCCAAAACCTCCTCGGACGGTGCTCTCAAAAAATCCTCTGAAGCCTTACATGGACAGAACAACAGCGACTTACTACGGCCGTGCACAGGACCAAACAAACTCAGCACACAAAAAAAAACAAAACCAAAAAAAACCAACACAGCCTGGCGACAAAACACTCTCCTCAGAACAAACAGACATCTTAAGGCTGCTTAAAGAAGCAACAGACAGCATTTTTGCCTATATATATCATTATGAAAATAATGTGGGTTGCACAGGGTAGTATAAACAGTAAAATCAGACTATCAGAGTTTACATAGGTTACTTAATGACTTTGCAATAAGCTTCTGCCACCGGGGACGAATTTTTGCGGAAAAAATCTGCTTTATGGCAGGAAATGCGTCATGTATTGCCAAACTGGTCGGTCAGCCAATCAGGGACTGGAGCTGGTCCTTATGAGGAACTGGCAGTGGCATGAGGTAGCTGAGTCAGGAGCACAATGGCAGACGGACAAAGTTTGGAGATAAGTGAAAAACGGCCTCCCAAAAGAAAACAAGCTCCTCTGTCTGAGGAGGCGAGGATGCACAAAAAGGAGAGTGATAAAAGAAGAGGAAAAACAAGAGTAAACCTCAGTCAGGCGTTCAAGAGATGGAGGGAGCTCCGTGACCAAAGAGGCTCCAAAACCGGTGTCCAGCTAGCTTTCTTTCTAATGGATCAGTAAGTAACACGGCTAAATGTTAGCTGAGAGAGGACTGTACTGTACTGGCTGCTAGTTAATTCCTAGCTGGCCAGCATCGCAAATTGCCGCAACCAGGGACCGGGTAGTGAGTGTTGGTCGGCTGACATCCTCATTGCCATTCTACGGCAGACCTCGGACAGTGATTACCCCCACCCCCCCGCCGCTGCCGCAGCTACTGGGCACCCAGTATCTCCGACCGGGAGAAGTGGAGTAAAATCCTCTCCTCCGCTCCCGTTTGTCTGGTGAACGCCTCTCCTCTGTCAATACACTCTGCCAGCAGTTTAATAATATTGATGTCAGTTGTAACATTTGAATGTTTTAGTAGTGAGTGTGTGTGTGTGAGAATCCCCTGTTGGGAGTTATTTTTCAACAGTCACCGGCTCACTATACATTATCCCTTACGTGTCTACTGTTGTTTCAGCTGATACTGTGTATATTGGTATAATTTACTGTGAGCTGTTTGTACTGGTACTGTGCATTCTGCTATAATTATTTGCATTACTTTTTTTTTTTTTTCCTTCAGATAAATCTGATAATTGTTGCTTGGTCTCTTGACTCATTTATTTAGTAGAGTGTCCACACACTTTCTCATTCTACATACACATAGAGGTATACTGGTGGCTTTACAGCCTAGATTTTATTGATTATCTCTGATTCCCACGGTCAATTTGGTCTTTGCGACAGTGCGAGCAACGCTGCTGACGCTAGGTGGCGCCAAGCTAAAAAAAAAACTCCTATCTGTTGCCTCTTTAACCAAAATGACAAACAGACTTACCACGCTCGTCAAACGTCTGCCAAACAAAACACAGACTGCGCAACTCATTCACAAAAACAAGGCGCATCACTTACTACAGCTACAGCTGATCTCTGATGTCACCGAGTTTGGACGAGCCCCCATTTGTCACAGCCCGGCTCTGAGGCAGCGACAAAGATGGGAGACAAGACGAGTTTTACCGTGCAAAAAAATAATGTATTTATTTACAAAAGATAATCAAACTAAGGTAAACGTGAAAGTCAGTAATCAGTAGTGCCAGCATGTGTGGATGTGTGGAAATGTATGGAGAGAGCAACAAAACAAACAACAGCAGCAGCAACAGCAGCAGCAGCACCAGCAGCACCAGCAGCACCAGCAGCAGCAGCAGCAGCAGCAGCAGCAGCAGCAGCAGCAGCAGCACCAGCAGCACCAGCAGCAGCAGCAGCAGCAGCAGCAGCAGCAGCCCGCTCCTCCGACCAGACCAGTGAGAGAGAGATGACAGGCAGGAGGGGAGCTTTTAAGAGCCCACACAGGTGTGGCTCATCAGGCTGATGAGCCCATCAGCTGATCAAGCTGGCGACACCCTCCACCCTGCTTCCTGCAAGAGAAAAAACACAGCAGAAAAGGGCAGGGACAACTAGTGGAGCGGAGGGGTTGTCACACAGCTAACAGCAGCAGCAAAGCTAACATCAGGACGTCATCTGTTAAAAGCCTCCCGTTGTTGGATATGACATGAAACTACTCCAGTTAGCTCAATCATGTTGTAACTAAGACATCCACTGGAAAAAAATATTTTTTTCACGGACCGTTTATTTATTTAGCTTACAGCCAGTAAGGGTACACACATGTTGACATAAGCGAGGGTGGGGATACTCGTCTTTGATTGGCGGTACTCCATCATCTTTGATTGGGGTATGGGGGACAACGCCTACTTAGGAGACCGGAAATGTATACCATTTCATACAATGGGAGTATACTGTAGGTGGGCCATCTTGTAGTAATCCAGTATCTTTGATGATAGGTAGACTTTAATAACTGTTGAGGGTGATGCGCCGTGTTTTCCACAGAGGGCTTTGAGATGATTGAGTCTATTGTTTGCTTTTTGTTCCAGGTTATTGATGTGTTTGGTCCAGGTCATGTTGTTTTGGAAGGTGACTTCGAGGAAGGTTGCTTCTTTACTGAGGTGGATTGGTTGGTTGTTTAGTGACAGGTTGATGTTGGGCTGTAGGTGTTGGTTTTTGGTAAAGAGGATGCATTGAGTTTTGGCGGGGTTTAGTTTGATTCTTGAGATTTGACCAGTTTTCTATTTCAGCAGTGCGTGTGTTGAGTTTTTTGGCTGCTAGTTGTGGGTTTTTTGAGCTTGACCAGTAACAGAGATCGTCAGCGAACTGTGAGACTTTGGCTATGGTGGCTGGGGGGTAGTAGATATCGGAAATGTATAGAAGGAATAGGAGGGGACTTAAAACTGCACCTTGTGGAACTCCTGCTTGGGGGGTGAAAGGTGATGAGAGGGTGGAGGCAAATTTGACTTTGATTTGTCTGTTAAATTGACTCGCACTGTGGGATTCATGTGTACTTAAATCCTGTCTGAAGACGTAATAGAAGACAGAGTCTGGCCTGTTGTCACATAAGCGCCACCTACTGAACAACAGCAACAGCACACACAAGTCTTCTCTCTCATCTTTTCTCTCTTTCTTTTCTTCTGTCTTCCTCCACTTCCTCGTGCCTTGGTCCACACGTGTCCTCTAACGTCTAAGGTCCTTTTGTCTCTGCCATTAACCATTTCTCTAAGAACTATCGCTAGTGGTTTTTCCCATGTGCTCAAAGGCCTCACTGCTGTTTGCTCTTAAAGTGTGACTTGGACGGTTCGTGTCTGAAACTTGCAGCCTCACTGTTGATGGAATTCCCTCCTCTTTTCTCTCTGTTATCCACTCACATGCTTTTCCTACTATAGCTATGGGAATGAATCAACTGATCCTGTCTTTTCTCAGTCTAAAACCCAGATGAAAACACATCTCTCAGCAGATGTCTGCACAGCACCTAAAGCTAAACCTTGACAAGACTGAGCTGCTCTTCCTTCGAGGGAAATCATCTCTTGTCTGTGACCTCTCTATCATCCTTCAGAACTCTATGGTATCCCTGACTGGGTGTGACACTGGATAAACAGCTGTCTTTCAGCAACAATCTGATGTAAGCCGCGAAGCTGTGAACTGATTCGCTCAATACCTCCATTCCTCACAGTAGGTTCTGGTTCAGGCTTCTGTCATCTCATACCCAGACTACTGCAACTCCTTCCTGACTGCATGTGCCAACCTACCCATGTTCTCCTGCACCACCCCACTCCTCTGTACCCTGCAGTAGCTACAGGTGGCTGCTCCCGTCTGATTCAAGACACCGGCACTTGCCTGTCTGCTAATGCTATACATGGATTTCCAGTTTCTCTAAATAGTTACATATTATATTTTGTAAACACAAGTGATGTAATTGATGCTTTTTGCACATGTATTTCCTGCACTGTACATGCATGGTGCTGGTTTTAATGTTATGAGTTGGGCAGACTCTGGAATTAGACTTCTGCAGTAACATTAAGATGCCTGTTATGGCTGCATATAGGTTGCAGAGGCTCACAGGATGATATGTTACAACTGGCTAAGTCAAATTTAACACCATAAGCCAATGAATATGACATGACATATAATATAAAAATGTCAGTCAGATGGGATTCTGCATGAGAAATAAAGAGAAAGAAAATAATGGTTATCATGATCATTAGAATATTGATTTCAGTTTTGTTTGTTTTGCCGTACATAATCATGAATCAAAATACTCTAAATGAACACTGTGAATAGACTGCGAGATTACTGTAAGCAAAAAATGTAAACAGCATTTGTATCGCAGTAATTATCTCCCAAGCGTTTTGATACATAAAAGGGTTTTATCACTGTAACCGTGATCATGACAAGCAATTTCTGCTAAATACAAAGTACTGTGCAGCTGAGACTGATGGAAATGTCCTAATTGTTTGATTAAATTGTTGCAAATTGTTTAAATGTATTTAGTTACAAACTAAAATACTGGACAGGCTGAAATTTTGGCCATGATGATAGCACTGGAGTTTTGTTGAAGTTAAGACAATGGATTTATGCACCAATTTTTAAATTGATCCATTTCATAGTTTCGAAGATGTTTAGCACAAGTTAGTGGGGTTCACCCTCTGAGTCTGAACTAGACACAGTGTGTCCACATTTACACATACACTATTCTCATAACCCAAAATGAGGAATTAAAATTATCATCAACCAGTTTAGTTACAGATGATTAACATGTTGTCAGTGCTATTCTATAGCCTAGTTAATTATTGATGTGTTATTGAGTAGAGGAGTGAGCTCCTGAGTGAGGAGTGAGGTGGCTCTTAAAAGAGCCGTTGTGGTTTGTGGAGCAGCAGCAGAGAGTTTAAGCTCTCTCTCCGCGGATGCGACGGGCCAGCTGGATGTCTTTGGGCATGATGGTGACTCTCTTGGCGTGGATGGCGCACAGGTTGGTGTCCTCAAACAGGCCCACCAGGTAAGCCTCACTGGACTCCTGCAGAGCCATGACAGCGGAGCTCTGGAAGCGCAGGTCGGTCTTGAAGTCCTGAGCAATTTCCCTGACCAGACGCTGGAAGGGCAGCTTGCGGATCAGCAGCTCCGTGGATTTCTGGTAGCGACGGATCTCTCTGAGAGCCACGGTACCGGGCCTGTAACGGTGAGGCTTCTTCACGCCGCCGGTGGCCGGGGCGCTCTTACGGGCAGCCTTGGTGGCCAGCTGCTTCCTCGGGGCTTTGCCTCCGGTGGATTTACGAGCGGTCTGCTTGGTTCTTGCCATGACTTCTCCTTTCGCTGATCAAGATATTAACGCAATGTTACGGGGAGACACGCTGCTTTTCAACTCTGAGACTGGCTGTAAAATTGTGACGCTGCTTCAGACCTCCGGCTCCTGATTGGTGAGGGACTCCTACGGAGCTCAGCACCGCCTGAAGGAGCGACCCACCGCCCGAGACTCCGCTGCTTATTGGCTGGAAATCCTTTCAAAAGGTCCGCCAAAATTCAGGCTGGGCCGCCCTCTGCTGCTCTGATGAAGCCTCTTTTCTGGTTGGTCTGGCAGGAACCGTCCCGCGCTCTGTGGATATATAGAGGAGGGTTTCAGCTGCTGAGAGAACACTTCTCTTTGTCCCGACTTTAGAGAGCATCTGAAAAATGAGTGGCCGCGGAAAAACCGGTGGCAAAGCCAGAGCCAAGGCAAAGACCCGCTCCTCCCGTGCTGGGCTCCAGTTCCCAGTCGGCCGTGTCCACAGGCTGCTGCGCAAAGGAAACTATGCGGAGCGTGTCGGTGCCGGCGCCCCCGTCTACCTGGCGGCTGTGCTGGAGTACCTGACCGCTGAGATCCTGGAGTTGGCTGGAAACGCTGCCCGCGACAACAAGAAGACCCGTATCATCCCTCGTCACCTGCAGCTGGCTGTCCGCAACGACGAGGAGCTCAACAAGCTGCTGGGCGGAGTGACCATCGCTCAGGGCGGCGTGCTGCCCAACATCCAGGCTGTTCTGCTGCCCAAGAAGACCGAGAAGGCCGCCAAGTCCAAGTAAACCTGGACACTCTTTGACTGCTGGAAACTGGCCCCCAAAAAGGCTCTTTTAAGAGCCACACACTCCCCTCATAAAGAGCTCTGATTCTCATGTCGTAAATGCATTCAAAGGGGGGAAAAATCCTAACTGCAAAGAGAAGAGGTGTCACCTGTAAATTATCTACACATGTGAGGGTTGTGGGTGTTGTTTGTTTTTGTTTTGTTTTTTTTTAAAAAAACAAAATGAATTGTGTCAAAAGCTTCAACTATCTGCATTAGACCATATCACGGATTTAAGTGACACATCAAGGAGATTTACTGCTTAAGAAACAAATACGAAGAAAGCCAAGATAGCCCAACCTCAGAGTCCCAATATGTTAGTAGTTTTAATTGCTCTGTGTCCTATCTTTAACAGTGAAAGAACACAAATAACCATCATTATCAGGCTCTGTGTTGAACTTTTGCAGAGGTGTGTCTGTGTCACCCTGCAGTCACACTTCCAAAACACTAGTCAGCTGTGGCAGTTTCTGTGAAGTGCTGTAAAGTTTAGTTGATTCAAAACACACATTAAACACGCATTAAATATGGCTTAATAATAGAGACAGTTTCAAACACAAGTACACAAATCAGCTTTACTATAACTCGCAGCATTGACAGACAAACACTTGTCTTTATCTGGACACATTTTCCCCACAAATACAACAAACAGACAGGAGGTCTGCATCACCATGACGCATAGTTACAATTCTGGGGAGGTGCACGACGTACAGTAGCTGCGGCGTAGGCTCTATGTCAACGTGGAGCCTGCGCTGTAGCTACGGCGTTGATTCAACGCAGAAGAACAGGGTTAGGGGCTTAGGACTTTAGAATCTTATGGAACATGAACACCGCTCTCTTGGGTGAAAGTCGATGTTTGTTGGACCCATCCACCACCCCTACTGCCTGCCCCCACTCGGACTTTCGCCAAATTAACTTTTGTCCCTGTCCTGCCATGTTTTCCCCTGACGAAGCCAGGCACTGTTATAGTTTAAGGGTGCCTGGCAGTGGGGATGGTGGATGGGTCCAACAAACATCGACTTTCACCTGAGAGAGTGGTGTTTGTGTCCTGTAAGATTCTAAAGCCAAACCCTGTTCTTTTTTCCTTAACCCAACCATGTGTCTTTGTTGTTGAAGGAAAAAAAAACGTCTATTTGTGGTGTTGTACCAATGTAGTGCATTTATTTTGAAAGAGATTGTATGTAAACGTTAAATTTCTTGTGAAAACAGGAGTGTATCTTGAAAGATGACAACTGGACATGGTTTTTTATTTCATTTATTTATTCCTTTTGACTCCTCCCCGGGGTATAAGGGGCAGACAACAAAAAATAACATTAACAAATCAGGACAGGCGGCAGCCAATGCACAGCAAAATAAATAAAACAGAATTTGTGTACATACATACAAGTCAAAGCAAATCAAGAGAAACTATTCAAGATTTTCTTTAAAAGTTTCAACAAATTTGACAAGACCTTTACTTTTCGAGATGACATTAACTTTTGAAACTTATAAATATTTGGATTTGCTCTATAGAACTGTCCGACCAACTCTCTTCTCTCTTTATCAAAAAAAGAACACACAAGTACATAATGATATTCGTCTCCTCGATTGCCAGTCAAACAAAGAGTACATTTCCGGGGGACATTTTCACGATCATACCTGCGCTCAGAGATAGGTAACTTATGATTTCCACACCGAAACTTAGACAAACAAACTCTTTCGGCAGGTCTTAACATAATCAGATAAGGTTCAAAAGTGAAATCAGTTTTAAACAATTTATAACTATCACATAAAGGGTTACTTTGTAATTTCTCATGCCATCTCTGTAGTTCCATATCAGATAATCTACGTTCAATCATTAATTTTAAATATTTAGGGTTCATCCGTCCAGCGTCATGCCATAAGTACGATAAACCACAATCATCAAGAATATTTTTAACTTTGGAAATCCATTTACACTGAAAAATATTGTCATCATACAAAGTCTTGAAAACAATAAACACAGTCAAAGAGATTTTTGCTGTATTATGACTAATTAAATGTACCCAAAAGTTAATCATTCTCATGTTTACCTTTAAATCTAAACTATTTCGACCAAACTCTCCATAAATAATACAATTTGCTGTGCGTTTATTAACATTAAGTAAACGTTTCAAGAAAGATCTGTGAAGCATTTCAATTTGGTCAAGTTTATGAAATCCCCAGACTTCACTTCCATATAAAAGAATAGGCACTATAAGCTGGTCAAATAACTCACATTGTATATCAACAGGTAACTGTAATCTAGTAACTCTGTTTTCCAAGGAGAATAAAGCTCTTTTAGCTAGTTTAACTTGCTTAGCTATTGCTTTATCAAATCGTCCATTAAAATTAAATAACGTTCCAAGATAGTCATACTCAAAAGTAACTTCTAATTTATCTGAACCAAACTTAAATTCTGGGAGTATCCGTAATTTCCCCCTAGAGAAAATAACAACCTTTGTTTTGTCTGTGTTGATGGTGTTCCAGAACGTCAACAACCAACCCAGGGTACCTTGCATGTCGTATGTGGACCTGGAAAGTCTATGACCAAAACGTCAATATGTGACAAGGTTGGAGTGAGAATGTGTTAACATCAAACATAAACAGTAATCCATCAGTAATAATAATGCTATATGCATACACATAAACATGTACATAGCCTCATACATATCTTTTATACTCCTGTGAAATTTCCCACTGTGCAATATTTTGCCATTTATCGTACAATAATTTTTATGTATTTCTAGATTTTTTCCAATAAAAACACTACATGTGCAACTATTAATAATGGGCATACATCTAGCCTAATCTGGCCTAATTGATATTTTTGTCATATTTTTTATCCTTATTCGTCACTCAATAACTTTATTTTTTTCTCCTTGCTTCTGACTCATGAGGTGCTGTAAGGGACTGTTCTTTACTTTTAAAAGGAGGGGGTAGGCTGGGATGTCTTTTTCTTTCTTCTTGTTCTTTAAATTTAGACCCTTGCTGAAGCTACAAATGTTTTCCCTTGAGTCTCTCTGGGTGATTGGTGGAAAATGCACAACTTGAAAGTTGGAGGTTAATGACAAAATCCTTGAGTTGAAAAAAAAGCCTCGGTTTTGAACTTCTGTTGTGCATACTGGTTAGTTAGAGCAGATAGTTTATTTCTGGCCAAATTTTAAATGAGTCTTAGAATAAAGTGATTTTGATGAAATATCACTGTTTAAATCTCAGATTTTCTTTTTTTTTTTTTTTCTCCTGACAGAAGTATTTGTCATGCATGACGTGTCCAAGGGCCATCAGAAATTTGAAAATCCAATGATTATTTCTTCATTTTACAGTTTCTGGCTATGATAAATGGTGTAATTTGGGCGATTTTTAGAGAGAGCAGGGTCGGAAGGTGTGTTTCCTTTAAAAATCCATGGTAAAATAAATACAAAATACAACTGTTTAAATGTGTATGCCCCTCCCATAAGCCAAAAAACCTGTGCGCCACCCCCCTCACAAGTAATGAACAGTCCCTAAAGTGTGAATTCCCCCTGTGTGGGACTAATAAGCTCTTCTCATCTCATTTTATCTTATCTTATCTTATGTCATATAATATGTATAATATAACACTGTACACTATGATAATATAACACTAAGAGGGATCAAGCTGCTGCATACTGTTTTGAATCTGTTTGTGTACTTTTTGATGTTACTATTACTACTTTTACAAATACAGAAGATCTTTACATTCCTTCCACCGCTGGTAAAGAAACTGCAATCTTTTGAAAAGTCATAAACAACCTTGGGTTGTAGTACCTGTATTAACCACAATAGGGAGCCAGGGGAATAACAGATTTTCCATGTTACATTTTAGAATACTATATTAGCTACTATTACAGAAACTGCTGGTCAATAAGGCACGACAGTCACGCAAAGCATATGAATGTTAAGTCTACCGATGAAAACGTTATCTGATTGTAAACAACATAAATAACAACAACAACAACATGAAAACACTTCAGGCGGAAACGCTTTGCATGAACTTGACAGCGACGCTTTTATTTTGTGAGGAGAACTCGCAGTACTTCCAGTCGTTAGCCAGTGCCGTTAACTTGACGCAGCTCGGTCCATCAGCAGCGCTGGGCTGAGAGAACAGAGTTCAGGTGGCTACGAGGATGATTTACGTTCACACACTGTTGCGCCTTGCAGGATACTCGGGATAACAATGGCCACAGCAACTTCAGTCACCACTCTTTAGTAGAAATAAAAGGCTTTTGGGGGGTTTATTTCTCCTCACTGAGCGCAGTCATTAAAGAAATTGTCAACTGAAAAGCGGTTAGGAAGTTGGACGTCGTTTACTGAGGTGAGTGTGACGCCAGGTTTCATATTTTGTTCCTGTGTGATATTCATGTGTAGAGATTTAACAGCTGGTGTGTGGTGTTTGAAGTATAAGACGCTCAGTTGTGAAA